ACTAACACCTCTTCCAGCAGCAGCCTTAGTTTTTCCCAGGAGTCTCCCATCCAGGTATGACCAGGCTCACATCTGCTGAGCTTCAGTGGGCAGCTAGTTGCGAGTTGCAGGGTGATATGGCTGCTGGCATTCAAACGACGAGCGATTTAAAATACACAGTGCAAGGTTGTGCCAAATAGAATTTCTTTGCGGTTTTAATGAGCTGTTCCCTGCAGTCAGCTTCCAGGCTGAATGTCTTTTTGTCTTTTTTTTATTTCCTGTCTTAAAGTTTAGAATTCAATTCGGATTCGAAACCATTTAGAATGCTAAAAAAAAAGTAATTTCCTGCTTTTGACAGGAGGTGCGGCTTAGAGATTCCGCAGGCAGCTGTGAAGTGCGCTGGCCTTCTCAAACGCTGGTTCAGTTACACGTGGCGCGGATACGAATGGGTTCATGGGAATTCTGTGCCCATCGTGGCCATGTGGTTCAGACTCTTCGGTTGGTCCTCACTTTAGTGATCAAGCATGACTGTTCCATGCTGCACCAGATTCCTAACAACAGTGCTTTGAGCCAGGCCAGGCAGTTCTGCCAGCTCAGAGCTCACAGGTACCACAGCGGAACTGAAGCAGTTCTGCAGTGCAGGGTTAGGCTGGGCGTTTCCGACATGCATGACAAAAATGATGATCTCCGAACAAAGGAATCCACAAGGAGGTAAAGGGGAAGTCTCCTGTAACTTCCTCAAAAATCCTGCAAAACTAGACCATGGGCCCATAAAAGAACAAATCAAGTGTGGAACAATTTGAGGCCAGTACCCCAAGAATCTCATTCATTTCCACTGACAGTCTATTAGGGTGTTTGTGCTCATGAATTAGCAAAAGGTTGTTTTATTTCCATCTGGCACTGAAAATGTTTTTAAATATATCCAGAAATCGGGACCTGATTAGGGATGGTTTTGTCAGTTTTGAGTTGATAAATTGCTTCATGATCCTGCCATTGATACAGGACCATGAAGCAGCAAGGCAAAATAAACATTCCAATGCTTTAAAGTGCACTGAAATTACAATTACTGTTCCAAATATGTTGTGTTCCTATTAAAATCACACCTGTTTCAAAAAACATATTAGATAAGCAGATACATTTGTAAATGAAGTTTACATTTGCAGCTAATGGGATCACTGATGACATTATTCTGAGCAAATAAATTTAAATTGAAAATGGTCAGCGTTACTGCCTCGCAGCACTTGGCCCTGGTTTCAATTCTGGACCTGGAGGACTATCTCTGTTGAGTTTGTATGTTCTCCCCATGTTCACTTGGGTTTCCCCTGGGTGCTCCAGTTTCCTCCCACAGTCCAAAGACATGCTAGTAGGTTAATTGGTTTCTGGGAGAATTGGGCCTGATGTGAGTGTGTGCCCTGTCATGGACTGGCGTCCCATCCAGGGTTGTACCCTGCCTTGTGCCAGTTGCTTGCTGGGATAGACTCTGCATATTTAATGAAGTGGGTAGAAATGGAATAAATGATATAGGGCAGTTAGAATTACAAAACTGCAAATGCTAATAAAATTGTAACATTGGAATGGAGGGGCAGAACCATTTTTTTATAGTTTGATTTTTTCTTTTGTGCGATTTGACAGTGCCATTACATGAACAGGTAAAGAGGATAGTTTAATTTGCCGTGAGAATGGCGTGAGAATATACTCGATCAAAGATGAAGCTTTCCTACCAGGTCGATCAGCTCGGTGCAGGCAGGGATGGTGCAGTATGCTCTGTAGCTTCTTCACTGAGAGTCTGGTGGTGCTCTTGTATCCCGCAGCTCACTGCGCGATGTTGGACGTCCCACGTAGAGTCTCTGGCACCCAGATTTTTCAAAATCCACTCTGTAACACAAATGCAGAAGATAACATTTGCAGAATCAACTTTTAATTTATCCCCGCTGAAGACATCTCTGTTGCTTTTCGGTGTTGGGACCAGAGAGGTGTATGACAAAAATACCAGAGAATTTAAGATCTCGCCCCCAGCAGAGCTTCTGTGCAGAGCTCTGTGAGTGAAGCTCTTCCAGGTTAGCCTGGCCTGACCCAGCAGCAGAGCTGGCGGAGGGGTCAAAGGTCACTTGCGTTGAGCTTTAGCGGAGCACTTGTCAGGCTAAACAATGAGCTGCATGGTGACCAGATTCAGTCAGATGATGGAGTACAAAGATTTTACTCTTATCCAGGGCCTCGCAGGACGAGGAGTGCTGGCAGGCTCACGTGTGTGTGTGTGTGTGTGTGTGTGTAACGAGACGTTCCCCCCGCCTTACCTGTGTTGCATCGGCAGGTATGACCCCGAAAAGGACTCGTGGCAGCTGGTGGCCCCCATGCAGACGAGGCGGATCGGGGTGGGCGTGGCCGTGATCAACAGGCTGCTGTACGCCGTGGGGGGCTTCGACGGCACCAACCGCCTCAGCTCCGCCGAGTGCTACAACCCAGAGAGGGACGAGTGGAAGAGCACCGCTCCCATGAACACCGTGCGCAGCGGGGCAGGTGAGAGGAGGCCCAGCAGGGGCGCCGCCCAGCCTGCTGTGCAAAGCACAGTAGGGGGTCTGAGCACCCTCTGTAACGCTCTGTCGTCTTCCACATATTACTCATGGTCCCATGACACAAACTGGCAGAGAGGAGCTTGAGCCAGCAGCCTAGAATAGCTGGAACAAAAAGCGGAACATGCTTTATGAAGGGTTTTTTTTCCCCCATGTCTACCATGGCATCAGAACTGGCTCTGCTATTGAAATGCCCTCTACTTCTAACATCTGTTGTCTCCTGCACTGAGAGAGGCCTATGGATTGGTTATATTTGATGATCATGGTATAGCACTTACATGAGCGAACTGTGCCATTCCACTCTTACAGGGCCGGTAAGCTTCTGGTTTTCTTTGCACCTTAATTACCTCATGGAACTCCTGATTTGCTAAACCTGACCAACTGAAGTGTGTCCTCGTTCTTGAGAAGCTGCGATTTAAAGAGATCCTGAAAATGGAGCTGGGCACCCTTGCAGTTTCAGCACACGGCTTTAAAAGTGAAACTGAGAGGCCCGAGCTGGATCGTGACCCGGAGGTGCTTGGCCTTACCCGAGCTCCTGCGGGAGAACGGGGGAGCAGACGTCAGCTGCTGCGCTTCTTTTCCCAGGGGTCTGCGCTTTGGGCAACTCCATCTACGCCATGGGGGGCTACGACGGCACCAACCAGCTGAACACAGTGGAGCGCTACGACATCGAGAACGACCGCTGGACCTTCGCTGCGCCCATGGAACACCGGCGGAGCGCGCTGGGTGTCACCGCGTACCACGGCAAGATCTACGTGCTGGGTAAGAGCACCCTGTTTTAGAACAACCGCCACAATCCCGTCTGAGCGGATTTAGACCTCGTAATGAAGACGTCCAGTTCACAGCATAAGCTCAACGTCTGGAGAAACTGCGACAATTGGCTCCTTTCTAATTGATGAGCGGTGGTGTGGAAAAAGCATTTGGGGCTTTGGCCCTGTAACCTGGGCACTGTAGGGTTCTGGACCCTGTTGTGGGCTCCGTTTCGTCAAGCAGGGAGTTGTACTTTACCCAGAGTTCTCTGTGCAAGACTGGCATGCCATTGAGAAGGGACCTTGTTTTCTCAGTTCATTTAACCCTTAATTAATTCATTACCCCTTCCGTCTTCTAACTGCTTCTTCCAATTCAGAGTCGCAGTGGAGCCGGAGCCTGTCCCAGGAAGTAATGGCTGCAAGGCAGAGTACACACAGGGCACACACAAACACTCACACCAGGGCCAGTTTTCCCAGAACCCATCAACCTACCAGCACGTCTTTGGACTGTGCGAGGGGAGAGCATACAAACTCCACAAAGAGCATGAGACAGGAGCACAGGTCCAGAATTTAACCCAGGGTACCGAGGCAGCGATGCGAACCACTGCACCACAATGCCGCACCATTAATTAATTCTTAGACGGGGACCCCAAAATCACAGGGAACTGGGACACCCTCTGACCTTGGAGCCTCTTGTACGAAAGTAAAAGAAAATCATGCCGTCTCTCCTCTCTTCCCTAGGGGGTTACGACGGGAACACTTTCCTGGACAGCGTGGAGTGCTACGACCCGGAGACCGACAGCTGGACAGAGGTGACCAAAATGACGTCCGGCCGGAGCGGGGTGGGTGTGGCCGTGACCATGGAGCCCTGCCGTAAGGACCTGGAGCCGTGTCAGAAGCACTAGGAGAGGCGCGGGCCAGGCACGAAGACGCTCTTCCCAGCCGTTTTCGTTTGCTAGTCGTATATTGGGGTTGTTAAGCAAGCCAGGCTCCTTGTGGGCTGTGGTCAAGCAGGGTTTGCGTTCGGGGCTCTTGTAAAACACAGGACATGCAGTGGCATAGTGCAGTCGGGCCACTGGGAAGTCAGGTGGAACAAAGCCCACTGCGTTGGCTCGTCCATGGAGTTGAAGAGGGGTGAAGGAACCCCTGCCTCGTTCACCAGTGCCCACATGGGTGCTGCTCTCACTACCCACAGCCTGGCTGAAGGCTATCACACACAATGGGTGTTTTTATGGACTGCAGATTCTTGATTTTTGTTTTGTATCATTTAACATATACTGTATACAGCATCAGAGCCTTGATTTTTTTTTGTCACAGTTTAATTCAAAGGAGGCCTACCTATGAAATTTCTCTTTATGAAAAATAGTGTTCAAACATTCTCTGTCCTGACTGAACTTCATGAGATCAGGGTTCAAGGGGAAAAAAAACTGAACGTTTTCCTGCTGACCCTTATCCTGTGTGGGTGGAGTTGTAATCCGACAAAACTCAGGCACTTCTTTCTTTTGTCTGTGGACTGATATCCTACATCTGACTCAGGAGTGGAATTTATGGAGTTTATAAGTGTGCACATTCAGCGCTTTAGGAAAAAAACAATCTTCCGTGATGATATTCTTCTGTGCCAGCTATTCAGGAACACAGTGTGTGGAGAGGGAATAAGATGATGCAACTTCAGTGCCATTTCCTTGCCTGACAAGCTGATCAATACACAGGAGGTCCAGCGCAAGGAATATGCGTAGGTTTTCCCTTGCTCTGTAAATGTCCTAAATAGACAGAGCTACCGGCTGCAGGTCAGCAGACAGGAAGCCTGCATGCCTGGATCTGCACTGTGTTGGAGTCCAGTGATGTCGATCGCAAAGGCACTCGGGCACAGCTGCAGGCCAGAATACTAGCCCTATGTGCAGCAAGAGGCTGGGAGGATGAGCCAGCTGTGTCTTTTGCGTTGCAAAAAGATTTTCATTAATGTGCCAGAGGGAATAGGGGGCGCAACTGCAAGAGATGATCCACCCAGAGCTTGCTGTTAGGGAATGCAAAAATAAATCAGTCGAAAACCAGAAAGACGTTTTTACTTACAGCCCATGTCCTTGCGCACCTGTCACACCGCCAAAACATACCTTTGATCTTAAAATTTGTTGCAGGCGGGGGGGGAGGGTCCCAGTCTCTCCCCCACACAGTTGGTTTGTTTTCACACATGAAGTTATTTTTTAACAGCACTTTAAGCTTAAAAAAATAAACTTTGAAAAGGAGTCTGGTGATTTTTGTACCTTGATATTCCCTGATGTCTTGTACAGAATTCTGGAATTTTATTTTTTGTTTCAAATGTCCTTCTTCCACTTTGTACAGAATATGGATTCAGACATTCACAGTGTTTCTGCAAGTCCTGCACGTTGTAATTTAAGGACTTTCTATGATGTTTGTAAATCACTCCTCTGACTAACTCAAGAAGAGGACTTCAAGGTATTGAATCTGTTGCTGACATTTACAGATAATTTAAAAGCTTTGTAAAATTGTAAAACAAAGACGCATTGTACATTAAAAATGTTTGTCTATTTTTAAAGTCCTTTTCTCTTCTTTATATTTAAATACAAGTTTAGATTACCAAAAAGGAAACATTACACAAAGAGCATGAGACTACAGTATTTCAAAAAGCTTTAAAATGCTGCTGAATTCCTAGCTACTTAACTGACATTTCTCATTTAAAGGTGCTGACGGTACCACACGTGGGCTGTTAAAATTCTTACAAATTGTGATTCTCAACAGTAACTGATTACTCCTCAAAAATAGGACATCTCCTGGGTTGTTTACAGGGAATTTGCATGGGCAAATTAACGTTTTAACATGCTGTTAACCCCATTGGTGAAACTACTCATTGGATTTTCCCTCTGTACTTCTGTTGAAGTGATTTCTCCTCTCCCCACCCTGCAGGAAGAATGCTTCAATGGAAACAACAAAACCCATGTGGGACATGACGTGCAACAGTGCAGCAATGAAATAACAGGAAAACTCAAAACTGGATTCCCCCTATTTCTTAAGGAACGGCATTTCGGGACTTGGTACTTGGTATATTGGTACTTTTCCCATCTTGGCCTTTGGAATCAGGCAGTTCCCTTATCACTGATTCAGTTCCTGCCCTGTACTGGATATTCAGCCTGCATTTTGGTTGAGCAAAAATTTCACCAGATCCACATGTGTAAAGTGGCCAACAGCACACAGTTTTCTACTTGTATTAAGAAAATTAAACTTCCGATGTTCCGGGTCTTTCTTGCCTAATGTGGGAACACTCTATAACACCAGGTGTGCCTTATAGGAACCATTAGATATAGGAAAGGGCTCTATTTGACCACTGGAGTAGATACTCCCACCTCGGCAATCCGATTTGTTGCAAAAAAGTGGACATTTGTATGGTGTATAACGTTTAAATGTAATTAAGCAAATCCTAAACTTGGATAGTTGCTATGGCCAGCAGCCATATCACCCTGCAACTCACAACTGGCAGCCCACTAAAGCTCAGCAGATATGAGCCTGGTCAGTACCTGAAAGTGAGACCCCCTGGGAAAAAGGTTGCTGCTGGAAATGGCGTTAGTGGGGCCAGTAGGGGGTGGTCACCCTGAGGTCTGTGTGGGTCTTTCTGATGAGATGTAAAACCAAAGTCCTGACCCTCCGTGGTCATTAAAAATCCCAGGGTGTTTCTCGAAAAGTGTAGGGGTATAACCCCGGCGTCCTGGACAGATTTACTCCTGGCCTTTACCAATCATGGCCTCCTAATAATCCCCACCTATATACTGGATTCATCACTCTGTTTTCGTCCCCACTGATAGCTGGTGTGTGGCGGGCGTACTGGTGCACTATGGTCACTAGTGTCTAGAAAAGTGTAAGCAATTATTATTAAGTTGAAAGGGAGACTTAAGTTTATTATTAAGTTTAAGTTTTTAAAAAAGTTCAGCACCTCTTTGAAATCCAAACAAGTCTTCAGGAAAGGGAACATCTCTATACTGTACATGAAATCAGCAACAACTACTGCAGCTAACTGACTGTCATGACTACCCCTTCCACAGGGGTGTTATTTAAGTGCAATAGAACTAAGTTTTCCTTTATTCCTGCAGCTATTAACCTGCCTAAATTGGACAATGAATTATATCTTTAACACATATTTATTTTCTTTTTCATCATACATGTATGTCTCTTGTTAATAGGTTTGTGTTGTGTCAAATGAACTGTGAATTGCTAGGTCTTTTACCTGCCTGCAAAACACATTCCCAATTTGTTTCCGAATAAAATTAACTGTTCTGCCACTAGGGTCCTTCCGCCCTACCCACCTACCTTTCACCTCTGGCAAACCTAAGTATGGACCATCTGGACTCAATCAGGGCACAAGTGAAAGTCACACCTGTGAAAAACAAGAGTGCTCTACGGCTCCATTAGGGCTTGCCGGTCAGAAGAAAAGCAAGTTCACTGCTGCTGTGTTCCTGGTGGCTGCACCAGGAACTCTGACACTGCTGTGCTGCAAATTCCCTCTGTAAAATAAGGCCAGGTGCACTGTAAGACACTGTAAAACCGCATTTAACTTTTTCTTTTCCTTTTATTTAGGAAAAATTCTGAATATTCAAACAAGACAAAACACAAAAAAGACACAAAAAACAACACAAAACAAAAAATAACAGAGGGCTTAAATGTGCTTCTGCATTTTTACGGTTTTCTTGTTGAAATAAGCACAAAGTCAAAACCTGTGACAGAAGCAATCACAAAATGACTAGATAGGTAACACTTGAATAAGTACAAAGCCCAGTCTTTTCCAAAACATTCAAGAAGGGGACCCCAGATCTTCTGTAAGCTTGTTACAGTGTTTGTCCCATAGAAACGTATCCTGTAAGACTTTTTACAAAGTAGAGTAGGTTGATAATTTAAAAAAAACAACATATACATGGCATATACAGCTGATGATAACAAGGGGGTCCTCCCCACCCCCTCCTCTATTCTACCACTCCGTGCTGACCAGGCTCCAGAGGTAATCACTGATGAAGCCCTCAGAGTGTTCTCTCGTGTCGAGGTTGATAGGGGTGACAATATCCTTTCCGAAGTGGACTGAGGTCGCCCAAGTTAAGGCAAAAATAACATCTATCCACCAGGGTTTTACCAGAGCTCACACCAGGCAGGGACTCTGAACTCCTGTGCCATACAGCTTGTACCAGCACAATTCACCTCATTAATGCACCGTTGGTGCCATCTCTTAATAGAACTGTGATCACTCCACTTTGCTATGACCTCGGAAGTCTTTTGCGACAGTAAAAAGACAGGAAATGCAACTTATATACCCCTATATAAAGGACTATAAAGCATGTAAATACTCAATACAGACTGTCACTTCCTTACTGTGGTAACAAGGCTATGAGCTTGCACTGAAACTTTATTCAGTTAACAAACAACATCTGTTATGAACTGATTTATAATTCACATGACCCAGAATAACTGTAATCCAACCTCATTAATTACTTGCACCAAGCTTTTTTAATTTCTTAATTACACGTTTAAAAAGCATTGATTGCAGCAACTTAAACCTTTCAAGTCTCCTACCCTGAAACAGGCTATCAAAAAGGCTATACATTATTTCTTCTCACAGTCCACGTGGCACTAGGATGAAGAGTGGTTTAAGTGCACAGTAAAAGGATACCTCCTCTGAGGATGTCTGGTTCAGTATTAAAATCCCACTTTATCTTCGTCACCTTGTGGTACAGCTGAACGATGTACCTGGGAAACAGAAGCCACACACTTACAGAGAAACCTTGGGGTGCCTCAACTTGTAGCCGAAAAATAAAGGCATTGGTTTATGCTATACACACAGCAGACAGCCAACAAAACGAAACAGTGTTTCGCACTGAATGAACAAAACAAATTCCTTTGCCGATAAAGTTTGCTGTATTTCCTACACATTAACACCTAGCCTTGAAATACCATGACTCAAAAAAAATCCCTGAGGCTCCATATTAGTAAGAGAGGCTAATGACTTCTCAGGAAGGGTTAACAGAAAGCTTAAATGTCACCAATATAATCATCAGTTGCATTTGAAGATATTTTTACTAAGTGTTCAAGGATAATATTCCATGGAGTTTTAGTGCTTCTCTACAACAACTCTACATTGTCCACACCCCCTCCCAACCCACTGATGCCAACTACTCCAGACTGGACTCAACAGACCGCACGGCTCACTTGACACACCTCGATTGTCAAGAAAGTGGCACCGTGGCAGCTCTGTTAATTAATACCACCCGCTCTCCTGAAGGCTCTTCCAGTTTAACTCTCACTATTTCATGTCCCTAGCTGACAGGCTGCAGGACTTCCCAAGAGTCAGACCACATCGCCAGAGGTAGCGCCGGGATTAAATTGCCAGGGCTCTGTTTTCAGGCAACAGTGACATCTGAAAGTCTCAGATAATGCGATAAACACGCCACTTCCTCTGGCCGCGGGGCTGTTTGCAAATGCTGAATGGACTCAGCAGGGAGATGTTTTGGAAGAGCTTGTGTTCGGTTTCATTCCCCGCTGAGTGGGTACGGGGTCACTGCCACAAAGCCAAGCATTAAAAATAAACTGCAATTCAATTGGGCGGATAGGTGACAGAATATCTAGAGAGTCTGTTAAAAAAACTCTGTATAATGCTGGAAATGTCTCCTTTAAAGCAAGAATCAGAAAGGCAGAAGCAAGAAGTGAAACTTGGATTCAGGGGAGCAGGTATTAGGTTATTTTGCCACCCTTTTGACTTTTTGGAGGCCTGGAAATGCAGGAAGATGCAACTTTTCCCAGGATGCACAGTGGGCAAACCGTGTTGGTAGCCAAGAGAAGGCAGTGCTCCAGCCTGACCGTACTTGGTAGAGGGGATGATCTCAGTGGTGTCCTCGTCCACCTCAGCTTGCAAGACCTGGACCTCCCTCTCGGCCTCGCGCAGGCTGTCGATCTCCTTCTGGAGAAACCTGCTGCACAGGTCAAGGCTCAAGAACAGTGAACAAGAGGGGAAGGCTTCACACATAAAAAAAAAAAGATCACTTAATGCATCCTGTTTTTGAGGCATGCAGGAAAGGATATTCTATTTCAGCCTGGAGCATGTCCTTCCTCGACTTGCTCTTCTGGAGCTCCTTCTCCAGCTTGTCCAGCTCCTCCAGAACACCGTTCCTCTGGCTCTGAATGTCCAGCAGGTCGTGAGCTACCTTCTCCTCAGTGTGCAGCAGATCTACAGACAAACAGAAATCACTGCAAAGGGCAAAGGGACACCATGCTGCAGGAGGACAATGATGTCCGTTTCAATACGGGCAATGCAGTACCATCACGCTCTTCAACATCTTGCAGCGCCCTCACCTGAAACCAGCTGGGCTGCGGACTTCCTCGTCTCCAGCAGGCGGCTCAGGATGAGGGTCTGCTTCTCCATGGCGGTCTTCACCGTCTTCTCCGCGTTGCTGTTGGTGATGCAGTCCAGCAGCACCTCGCCGACCTCCTCCAGGGCCTGGATCCCTTCGTGCATGGCCGACATGCCTAGGCACTTCCTGCAAGAGGGCAACTGACTTACCGTCCCGGAGGTTCACGACACCCCAACCCGGATGGTGTCAATCAATGGCAAGACTGCAAAACCAGGGGGGGGTTAGTGAGTGAGAAAGTAACTAGGAAAAGGGCGATGGGGAGCGGATGTTTATATTGCTCCTGTACCTTTTATATGAAACTTTTCTTGTAGAAATCTAAGAAATATATTAATTAAAATATATATTGATTAAAAAATGATCAGGGCACAAAGAAAGCATCCTGATCTTCTGAACACGGAGCCACAGATAGCAGACCACACCTAGGCAAATTGAATTATTCATAGTCCTGCAGCAGGTTATGTAGGCGTTATCAAATCAATGACAAGTGAAGACCTTTAAAAAGTGTTAAACTGGTCTCATCTAACTGATCGGTGCAATTACATCATTGAGACAAACCCAGTGACATTGCAGTCTTCCTGGACTGGAGTTGTGCCACACTGCCCTAAACAGTTTGACAGTCTAGGTACTTTTTAGATTTCATAGAGAACATACTGTGTGGTTTGTAAAAAACAAAAAAGTAATTTGTCTTGTAAGAACCGCCTGTTTCCCCAAGAATCACAACACTTCTGTGCAATTTTGAGATGTGAGATTCAGAATATCATTTAAATAAAGTTTTAATGAACAACATACTGTATTTCATATATTGTATATATATATATTTCGTTTCAGTACAAATCCTTTACTTATGACTTGGGAAATGCGAAAGATAACATCACTATAAATATATCTCTTTGAATATAATACATGATCATACTTCAAAAACAATTACGATAGTTTCCAGGCATAAATTTAAATGAACAAAAAACGATTCGTTTTCCAGCACTTCACACTTAAATCGGTCGTAAATTGACATTAGATTTATGCTGTTCGTCCAAAATAAACAGCGATAATCCTGAAGTCCCAAATTTGTTAAAAACGTATCTATAATGTTATCCAGAATAGAAAATGAAAAGATCTTATGTTTAAACACACAGTGATTAGATTAGTACTAATCAAGATAAATCAATCTCTATCGTGTTATTTACTGCCCCGTGGTAATGTCTGTTAATTGTTAATGCAGCTCTGCTCTTAACTCCAGCTGTCGCCATCCGTGCATTACTAAGATGTAAAAAATGCGTGTTGTGTCGGCGTTCCTTGATAGCAAACCTTTAAATACAACAAATTTCAAACTACAAACCCAAAACAAACAGCAACCCGGGCAGCTATCTTAAGATTTCCATATTCGCTTCAAATATAAAGACTCCAATCATCCGCCCTGCTTTCCATTTGTAACTTTCAAAGGAACAGATTGCAACACTGAAAGAAATCCAATTTTAATACGCTTACCTAAACAAATCGCGTTGAATAGAAACAAACTACGGTTGCATTTGCTTCCGAAATTCAAACTGTGAACTCCCGCCCTACACTGCTGCAGGCGTCCATGTCGCGCCTGTTCAAATGTGATAAAGAGACAAAAGGAGAGGAAAACTCTGGAACTAAGGTCAAGAGATTTTGGAATTTCATTCGGTAACACAATTAACATGTTTGAGATAATGGTTTTGATCACAACCTTCCCTTTCTTCAAAACTGATTACGTTTTGTTTTATTTTTGAACAGGCGCCGCTGTGGATTAGCTCAGAAGGGGTCCAGTGGCAAAAAAAAAGTTCTCACTTTTTTTTGTGATGTGCGCTCCTGGGAGTGCAAAAGCAATTGTGTATTGGATCATGGTCGATTTTAAGTGCGTTGTTATAAATAATTGTAATTTCGTAATGATAATACTGTCGAAGTATAGAAATACGTGGTGTTTCAGCTATACAACCTAGTAAAGGGCATATTGTGTGAATTAAAAAAACAGCGAAGTATAAAGTCTATAAATAATTTTAGTTATAGAACCCAATAAAGAGCATATTGTGTGGATTTAAAAATAATAGTCACAACGTACAGTAAAAGCTGCCCTACCAACTCGATTCCCCATGTCAGCTGGATGTGGGTCTGTAAGAGTGGTTTTACAGTGTTTTGTATTTTGAGTTTTTTTTTGTATTTTAATTTTTCTTCTATTCCGCTTGTCCTACAGGTCAAGGATTTCTAGTCCTGGGAACCTCACATCTAGAACCCCACATGTAGCGGAGCTCTTGATTAAACGAATCCTTGTTGCTTGGTTGGTCCCTTTGCAAGTGTTGTTTTTCCTCCTCAAACCCAAAGTCGGAGATCTTAAATGACGTACCAAACAAAGACGTTAGAAAATACAGCTTCCAACATGTGTAGGAACTGAAAACAAAGAGCTGAAATGAAACCCATCATTTGGTGTATTAAAGGGTTCAATTATTTGAGCGCTCGGCGGAAAAGAAACCATTAAGTGTGGGGGTCACCAGGGCCAGGATGGGGAACCCTGCTGCCCGAGTGGTCAGTTTGTAGAAACGCATTGTGGGAAAATAACCTGGTCCTGGAGAGCTGCAGTCCTGTCTGTTCGAACACCGGGGTGCAAGTATTCAGTTTCAGTTCAGGGGTTAAAGTCTAATAATCTAATCATCTCTAAATGACTTAAAATGAACAAATAACCTGCTTCAGTGAAAAACTAAGAGATGGGTGATTTTAGGGTGACCCATGAAAACTGCTGGACTGCGTCTCTCCAGGAATGGAAGTGGCGTTCGCTGTATACACCACATTTGTAAACAGGCACCAATTCCTTTAACTTTTAAAAATAAGAAAAAAGTCCCAGTGACTATCTCTGTGAAGCCAGAGAACTCCAGACTATGGTACCAGTGCCTGACTAACGGCAGGTTTATCCGTGACCCCATGAAAATTCCTTTTTAGGGAGATTAAACGTAATACTGTAGTCAGTGGTAGTATAGTGAATAACAGCATTGAACTAACCACAGGATGGCGCTAAAGGAGCCAGTGAAGACTGATATACTTTCCTATTTGTACCCAAGCCAGCGCAAGACATCCTTAAAAAGATGATCCCCAGTAAATTCTGTAAAGCGTGAAAGAGATGCACTGGAACATATACCCTGTTAAATAAAAAAAACAGTCCCCAATACGTCAATTTCTATTAATACAATAATAGTAATATTGCTTCTGAGGGGCTGATCGGAAGTTCTTCACGAATGTAACAACTACATGTCAACGGAGAGAGTCGGCTACAGCTGACATCATCAATTGGTTAGTATCATTACAGTAAATGTACTGGTCCTTTCTATTCGCGGCTGTTTATTCGTGTTTCTCCCAGAGAGATTTAAATACAATCTACCAAGAGCACAGCCATTTGCTTTGCACTGGGGCTGTAAGTGACCCTAAAACTATAGTTTTAGAACTACAGATAATCAAAAATCTAAATAAATGCATTGCATATATACTGTATTGGTCTCCTCCGTGTTGTTTGTTAGGAGTGGGCGCTTACTCTGGCCCGTTTCCATACGGAATCAGCGATTTTATTCCTGTAATGGATGGAAACAGACACCGGCTTGTTTTTTGTTTTTTCTGGTCATAGCATTCAACGGTCAAACCACAAACAGTTATCCAAGACAATGCCCCATCGTTTTATTTAGACACGTGCCCAATGTGTGGCCCGTGTTTAATTCATGTTTATCGGGGCAAAATAACTTTTCTTTTTTTAACCTTTTGCCTGCACCCGCATGCCAATCATCTTTAAGATCCGAAAGCGGCGGGTGAGGTAACCTGATCATGGTACACTCACAGTCTAATTTAGTTTTTTTTAGTGGCTTCTAGGGGCGGAGAGGAGACGGGGGCAGGCAGCAATCACCGCAAATACAATGGGTCGCATCATCATCACACGCAACAAGCTTGCCTGGTGATATATCAAGAACTTCTCGGGCCGGAAAACGCACAAGCCGAACTACTGCTACACCGACAAACTGGCTCACAGACCACTATAAACAGCACAGCTCGAACCGAACCGAGCTAAGGTGTAGGGTATCTCTCCATGGAAACAGGAACATTTGAGAAGATTACGCCAAAGGTGAGGATCTAGTTCAAACCCAACCGGCTGGCACAGGTATGTTGTGAGAACTCAACTTTTACAGTGCTGTCTCTTGAACAGGATTTGAGAAGTTTCGAGTGCACTTTGCAGAACAGCTGTCTCCACCAAACGCAAAATAAGTGCTGTGCTCAGCATCTCTTAAGTCTTTCTGAACGCAATCAAAATGAACACCGACGTTACCGGTAATACAAATGTAGTTTAAAGTCTGAAACTATATACCTTTTAGAGGAGGAAGCATACAGATTATCATTGTTGTTAGTGTTTTACCCGAATGGAAACTACCTGCATGTGCTTTCATGCGCTTCTCCAAAAGTGACCTCAGCGCGCACGCCAAATTGTTCAACATTAACTCATTTCCCAGCTTGAGAAAAGTAATATAATGTTGATTGTGGTGTCCTGTTGATTATGTTTATACAAAATACAGGACGTAGGGCACATAAATGAATGTTTAAGTCAGAGTACAGCGCAGTAGTGTCTGTAGTATGGATTATTTTAAATTGCAGTTTATCCTGACTAATGCTGGCGTATATTCCCGCTATTATGAATTTCTACAGCTCATTATGGAATCCACAATATGCTTGTTTAGCTTGTCTTGGTGTTTGCATGGTACCGATAATGCAGTCTCAAAAACGTTCTGTTTAATTAGCACTACAGTATCAGGGCAAACGATTTCGGTAAAAGGTCGCCTCGCATTGAAAGGTACCAGGCGATAAGATACTGAGGTGGGCATACGCGTTGGATACACCGCCTTTCTACAGACTGATGTCCGCGTTGAATAGCTCACAGTAAAGAAAAAAAACCTCCTTACAGCTCTCTAGTAGGGGGTCCATTTTCGCTCAGTTGCCTTGTAAGAGGTTAGGCTTCTTCAGAAGGATCTCAGGACAACAACTCATAGCGCCCATACACTGCAATTACTCAAAAATACGTCTTGAAGCACTGTCAAAGCTGGATCAAACGATCCTACTGCTGGTTCATTAATTACAAACTCCTCACAGTACAAATCTCATCTGATATACTGGAAGTTTACAATTACATGTTACTGGATTGCATTTTATTTAACTTTCACTTGGTTGTGAAAAAGTTTTTCAGTGTCATTGGTACAGATGGCAACCACACCTTTGGAATAACATTTCAATACAATACGCATCCAGACAAAAAGGTGGCCCTGATAAAACCCTGCTTATCTTTCACTGTACCAGTGGAAAAACCTTCAAAAGAATTTAATCTCTAACCCACTGTTTGCTTTTCCCAATTTGCTTGCTGGAAATCACTTCATATTTCTGAGACAGGAAACTGCCGACAAT